GAAGCAAATAAACCTTACCTGTGTTTGGAGAGATGGTAACACAGTCAACGAATTGTAAAGTGGAGAAGAAAATTTTGGGCAGTGTCAGAAACTAAAACCAAACCTACTGTCTTAATGTTACTTCACCCTGCGCTCAGTAAATCTGCATGTGGCCCCCTCTACACTTAAAGGGCTTGTCAAAGGGCGGAGCAAGAGCCTCACAACTTATTAATTAATGTTGACTGTGAGATATCGGATTTCTCTGTTTGATTAATTCTAATGAAACTACTGTTGGAATAAACACTTGACATCTTTTAGGCCACAGTGGCACTTACAGGTACAGTGTGTAGAATTTTGTGATATCTAGTGTCGAAATTTCAGGTAGTAGCTGAACACCCCTCACCTCACCCTTTCCTTCCGAACATGAAAAAGAACTGTGGTAGCCTTTAATGTTTAGTTTGTCCAGTCTGGACTAATGTAAAAAACATGGCGGCCTCGGTAGAGAGGACCCCCTCAATGTAAATAGAAAGTATTTGAATATAAAGGGCCTTTTCTGGGGTAAAGAAAACTCATACAATTTAGATGAAACGATATAGTGAAAACATCATGAGGATTATTCTTCTTTAAATTTTTGCCAATAGTTCCCTTTCACCTAAATCTTACACACTGGACCTTTAAGTAAATGGGCAACACTTTCTTTGAGATCATGGGAAATAAAGCAATGACACACACTTGTAATGAAAGCTCGACGCAGAGCAGCAGCAGTACCTTTTTTCCAATTTCCCAACATGAAGCCCTTAAAAAAGTTTTGAGGAAGAACAGATTGCTGTCAAACAAATATGCTGAATGTGCAGTTTCGTCACATTTATTTCTCTTAGTTTCGCTACAGCAACAATTTCCTGTTGTCAGTGACACATAATAGTTCCAAGTAGAGTTTCTTTTAATTTCTTATAGTAGGTTAGTTGTAGCCGCCTCACAATGCAAACACTCCTGTCTTGTCATGTATATTGGGTAACCCTTAATTATTTTTTAATGCAAAAACAAACACGTAAATCAGCTGTTTCATTAAAAAGTCAAAAAAGGAAACTATTTTTAAAATGATTAAATTTTTTATTTTATCAAACAGAAAATTTTAATCAAACTATATTTTAAATGTTGCTATTACTATTACTGGGTACATATGTGTGACCATACTTGAGAGCTGCACACTAATCATTCATCATCAGCTGCGGTTTTCTGTCTGTCTGTCATGGTTTGTGTGGCTGTTGCCTGTGGTTTTGCCAGTAGGTCACTCTGCACAGTTTTGGACACAAGAGACTTGAAATGGTTTGAAGCTGTATATTGACCCATAGCTCATCATTTCCCATTTTAATTGATATGATATTGTGCACTGTGAATCGAAATAAAGTGACTGCTTTTTAGGCTACATCAGTACTACCTATATACTGCATTTCTTTAAAGGTACAGTGTGTAGAATTTTGTGATATCTAGTGTTGAAATTGCATGTTGCAGCTGAACACCCCTCACCTCACCCTCTCCTTCTAAACATGAAAAGAAACTGTGGTAGCCTTTAATTGTCATAAAAAGTGTTTAGTTTGTCCAGTTAAAAACATGGCGGCCACCGTAGAGAGGGTCCCCTTGATGTAAATATAAAGTATTTGAATATAAAGGGCCTTTTCTGGAGTAAAGAAAACTACAATTTATACAATTTAGATGAAACGTACTAGTGAAAACCATGTGTGAAAATCAGGAGAATTATTCTACATTAAATTTCTGCCAATAGATCCCTTTCACCTAAATCTTACACACTGGACCTTTAAATGCATCGACTCTGCTATGGATTACCTGGTGTCCACACTGCTGTAGAGTTTTAGAGCCATTAAAATGGAGAAGTCTGGAAAAGCTGCTGGCCCCGTTTTAGTTTGCAAACTCCAGGGCTCGGTTTTAGTCTGGAAACTGAGATGTTTGGAAACAATGACGTAAACAGTTACACCTCATTGCTGATCTTTTTGGTCATGACGTAGCCTTCGCTGATTATGACCCTCTTTCAGAAGAAAACAATTGGGATCTGTCTCAGCTACTAGTGTAGAACGCAACATGGAAAACCTGTGTTGCTAACGCCTGTTGTCACATGATATGTATTTTCAAATATGTCCTTAGAGATACAGATATAGAGCAAAAAAAACTCATTTTAGAAAAGTCTTCACTCTATAAGTGTCAAGCCACATAAACTTGCACGTGCTTTGGCTTCTCTAGTCCCCTGTGAGTACAATGTTGTATGTAGATCTATGCAGGTCAACATACACAATAACATACAAGTTTTCATGACCCTGATAGCTCCTCCATTTCACCTTCATACAGCTGAACTGAAACATAAATTGTTATAGTTGACTAACTCATAGCTGTAGGGACACTTTGTTTAATATCATGGTGCATTATCTGCGTTAATAATCATCTTAAATCATAAAATACAACCTACAGTGCAAAAAGACAGAGGATGACACTCCTACTGCTGACAGCAACAAGTCTTAGTTTCCACTGAGTGAGTCACAGGAAGTGAGGAGTCCTGACAGAGCTGCTCAACATTGTCACTTTTTTCTTATCTCATCCGAGCACTTGTCAGTTCAGATCAGAAAAAGAGCGACACAGACGACTGTTTACACCCCATTACATAAGCTGCACTGTTGTTTGCCCAGACATTTTTAAAAGAGAACATTATTTGGTTCATTTAAATGTTTCAAAAACAGCAGAAAGACCTACAGGGCTTTCTGAACATGCGCAAAACTATGGTTAGATTATTTTTCAAATTATTTCCCTCTTTGAAGGGATACTGTTTTACACCAGATCGGATTTGTAGAGTTGAAAACTTTTTTCACAGAAACAGGGTTACTGTGCAACCATGAGGTGTAGGGTTTAAAGAATGTGAGCATTTAGGAGGAAGGGGAGTCTAATGAAAGTTAGGAGATACAGGATCTAGCATTTTGGAGTTAAGCTAGAATATTTTAGTCTGTGCTGCTTTGGCTTTTTTCTGTCTCTGGGGAGTTTCTCCTCCTTATATAAATATAATCATAGTTACATATAGTTCATTTCATTAGTTATATCATTGAGCTCAAATTTGATTATGTACAAATGCACATACAACAGACAATATACAGTGCATTCATATACAATTTATTTATTATTAATGCGTAAATGGTTATATAAAGGGATAGTAATTCATAATCACAAAAGGTACATTTCATTATATGTACTGTATACATTGCACATGTGTCAGCACAAATTCCCAATTCCCACAAATCATCAAATTTAAACAACAAAATAAATGTTTGTCACTGATAGACACTCTTAGCTCTGAATTAGTCACCCAAAACAAAAGACAGCATAAGTTGTCGTGAGCTTCTTTTAATCCTACTAGGGCCTGATCTACTAAAGGTTTGCATGTCTAAAAACATGTGCAAACTTGATTTCACCCGATAAAAAATATGCAAGCTAACTATCCAAACCTGTTATAATGCACAAAAATGTAGCACTGTTTATCTGGGATCTTAGTAGATCAGGCACCTAGAGTACAAATTTACATGTGGCTGAAATTGTAGCAAATGACAGGAAGGAGAGAGAACATTTTTAAATCTTGATATCTTTTAGGTGAAAATGAGTAGATAAGAGTGAAATAAAATGTAAGTGAAGACAAGGAATAGACTTTGGCTCTTAAACCCCAGCAGGAAGTAGAACGCCATGGAAGCAGTTATATGAATTAGGTATTCTGGGTATGAAGGACTGGTCAAAACCAAAGACAGACCATATTATCTGCTTTTCTATATTTTATTTTTCTTCTTGCTCCCCCTCCTGATAGGATTTCATAAAACCATCCTGCCCTCTTCTGTTTGTATGTTCCATCATTTTTGAGGACATGGTCATTTTGGTTGATGAACCTTTATTGGTGCGGTCGAAGAACAAAGCTATGCAGGGGTTCAGTTGATTGATCTGCAGTGTGAGCACAAAAGCCTCTGACTTTGCAGATAGCTGATGACATGTGATTAAAACTTGAAAATGGACATTATGTGTTTAGCTGACAACACACAACTCATTGTGCCTGAGAGAGGACAGGCAGTTTTTGTTGATCAAAAAAGTACATAGACGTAAACATAGACATAGACCAAGTGTTTGAAAAGACGAGCAATGCTGTTGTTTCCCTGGATATTCTTTCTGTACTGTCACTGAGCTCAGTGTTGACTCAACTTGTTATTTTGCACATCCAGGCTGTAGGAGTGATGGCGGACTTTGTAGAAAAGTCTTTCCATTAAAGACATTCCCGCTCCAGGTGTGGCATACCCATTTGTGACCCCCACACAGCAGTAACCCAGACTCTGGTAGAGGCGGTGGGGAGCTGGAGTGTACGCAATGGTTCCCAGCACAACAGTAGAGTAACCATGAGCAGCAGCAAAGTCCTGAACTTTCAGACCCAGCTCAAACGCAACCCCATACCGCCGATACCTCCGGTCAACAGACATCCTCTGCAGCTCAACAGCACGTCTTGGTCTCTGCTGGCCCACTGCTGCTACTAGACCCACCACTTTGCCTTCCAGCACTGCAACCCACAGGCAGGAGTCTGAGGTGGAGAGCAAGGACACAATGTGCAACATGATGAATACAGAATGTGAAAATAACCAGGAAAGGACAAATCATCTGTTTTAGAACACTATTCATATCTGTCTGTTTTCAGCCAGTCAAAGAACTTTCACAATTAAGTTGAAACATTATGAGGACATTCATAATTAGCCTATGTGTCATGTTAAAGGGGGGATATCAGAAGATCAGCCTGTCGTTTCTGTTAAAATGAGTGGAGCATCTTCCTATGTTATACTTTAGTATAAGCTTCACAAATAATGTAATATTTAATCTTCTGGTTTATCAGCTCCACACTATCATAAGTTATCAGGACTTTGAATCGATTGTGCAACAAATTGGGTCTATTCTGTAGAAGGAATCACACAGACTTGGAGGAAATTGCCTCTTTTGTGGAGGAGTAAATGTTTGATAGTGATCTGCATGGTTAACATCATACCTGCTATTCAAATGGGTTTCATGGTTTCTCAAGAAACAATGAGATTGGTTCAAGATTTTGAATTTAGCATGAATAAAACTACTTGCTGGATACTCGAGGGTTATGGCTGGAGTATAATTTCTCTTTCTTATTCAAATCAAAACCTTATTCTGGTAATATAATTACTTTTTCTCATCAAATCACAACTTTATACTCAAAATATTTTTACCAGGCAATGTCTTTTACCTGATAAATTGGCATCAAAATGAAAAACGAGAGTGGCCTGGGTGTTACATTTGATCTGTCATTTTAAACTGCAGAAGCTGAGACCAGGGCTTTACCTAATGAAGGGTTACAGTAGAAGCGATAATGATTTCTCTGAAATGCAGGGCTGATTATTTGACTCAGCTTATAACAGACCTGTGATCTGGACTAACTATAAATGAGGTGAGCATATGACAGGTGGTCCACTTGAGACCAGAGTAGAACTGAATAAGAGATGAGAGGAGAAGCAGATGGCAGGTCCTGTCCAGTCCATTTTTCTTTACCAGTCCTCAAGGGCTCACTGGTGGAAACAACTTAGGGAGCTAGGGGAACATGGAATGTCGACAATGTTGCACAATGCGGGTGTGATAACATTAAGTGTTTTGGACATGTTTGAACATTTTATTGGAAATGTACCAACACTGACTTACACTGAAAGTCTGATGTAATAGAAGATGGCATTTTTTCGTTACATACTGCACTTAAAACTTACATGAAATGATGAAGTAAGTAATTATACCTGGTGATTTACTGTAGAACCGCTCAATGTCACCCATGTCCTTGCTCATGACGTGTTCCAGGTAACCATGGATCACACGCCTGCTGTAGAAGTAGCGACAACCCAGCACAATAGCTGGGAGGAGCGCTATCACCCACCAACACATGGTGATGACAAAACATAGAACTGTAAAAGAGAGATACTGTGTGAACGTTAAAACAATCAACTGAAACAGGCACAAAGCTGAGGCCAACAACACATTTCAACTAGTGAATGAGATTAAATCTGTAATACTGCAAACATCTTTCACAATTGACTTTTAAGATGTGTCTTAAAAAGGAAAACACAGGCAGCTGATCTCTGCTTGGTCTTTCATATAGTTGCTATCTTAATACCAGATGGCCACGAGTAGGCTACACAGAGCAATTGTATTTTAATGTACAATACTGACTCACGCAATTTCAGAGTTATTTTCAAAATTCAAATTTCAGAGAGAATTGTCATCTTTCCTTATTTTAAGGTCTAATTTTGCTCCCTTGAAGCAAAAAAGAAGAGTGGTTATTGACCTATTTTTGCATTTACTGGGCTTAACTTGAGTACTTTAAACCCATGCTGTTGATGTTATTTCAAGATTTCTGGGCTAAAATGACACTGGGACAGACTGAACTTTGAAAACATCTTAACAAGTGAAATTCATTTAATGCACTGGCTGTCAAATTTGCTTGTTTTGAGTAAAACTTGCTTATATCTGGGAAGTTGACAGGGCATTTGTGCAGTTCAATGGTAAATGCTCTATATTTACATAGCTGATTTTATAGTCTTGATGACCACTCAAAGCTTTAAGCCTAGTTTATGCTTCTGTGCCTCCCAAAAATCCTAACTACGCGCCGTGTCGTCGGGGACCGTAAGCTCTGTGATTGGTCCGTTCAGAACGTAAGTACCGGCAGTTGCTTTTCCGGTCTTTCTTCCTCGTCCACCTCCGGAAACGTTTTCTTTGTAGCTTGCGCTTCAACATTTGCAATATAAGCATTTGTTCTTCAATATTGATGAGCTCCAACAACAAAWACAGCTGCTCCACCTCGGTCGCCATTGTTTACTGTTGTTTACTTTACGGAAGAAAAAGCGAGGATTACAGTTCAGTTTTCTCATTCAGCCATTCACAATCACATTCATACAGTACATTTATGTGCAACACTTCCTCTATCACACATCACTTACACACTACAAGCCACAGCTGCCGCTTTTACCACCAAGCTACAGGAGCAATCACAGAAACATGTAAACAAAGATACCTGTCATAGCAGCATAGAGTAGGAGTCTCTCAGGGTGATGTCTCAAGCCTCTGAATGCAGTGTCTGGTATCATCTCCATGAAACCCTCACAATAGATCCGCTGCACCTCCTCTTTGTCCACTGGCCTAAACTCACGCACAACTAAGCTTTGAAGTCCATTCTGATGTACTTTTCTACATATGTTCTTCTTAATTTTAGATACTTGTTGTTCCATGTCAAATAAAAGAATGATGGGATGCGACTTGCTGAATAAAAAGGTAGACAACTAGTGTGACAACTTGTCAACTTTGTTGAGTAATAATCTGGGAGTGTTTGCCTACTCTGGCCAATGAGCATTCTACAGATAATTACTTGTGCAGGTTTCCCGCACCCACTTGTCTGACAACACCCACTTAACACCCAAAATATGTATGTTCCTCACAGTGGAAGGGAGCCATAGCATGTTGGAGTCAGTGTTCCGAGGCCAATCTACCGATACAATCAAAGTATATTTCCAGTTCTACACATATGAAACAAAGTTTTATAAAGTCTGGTGTGACAGGGGGAGGCATCAAGTAACCCCTTCAGTCAATGTTGACTGGGCCTCATAGACTATAAGTTGAAAACACGTTGAACCGGTTGCCAATGTCTGGGACATTCACATGACTCATCCCAGTAACGTTGACACTTCGCAGGGTTGTATAGATATCTTGACATGGGAGCTGGGGTAAATTGTTAGCGTCTCCTAAAAGTGTACTTGAATGTAACAACATGTTTTGTGTCTTTCTGTTGAGAGTTGGAGGGAGCTTCACTGTGAGGACAGGTTATCTGGAAAGAGGTTGATTATTGTAAAGCTAGGTGTTCATGGTCAGTACTGCCAAACTAAAGAACGGCTGCTTTGTCTTTACATTTCTACATGTGTCACAGCTTTGATGTACCTGGTCTGAGTGATGAAAGTAAATGGTGGTGATGAGGAGTGAAACAGTATGTGGTTCAGGGAAATTCTTAATCTACCACTAATCTGCAAATTGCAGGGAAACAGGAAAATGACAGAAGCAAGATTTGAATGGATACAATAAGAAAGATAAACGAACACCAACTGTTTCTGTGTTGGCTTAAGATCCATGAGCGCTACAAAGGGGATTTAACTGTTATACTGTGATTTTATCATAATTTCCACGGTATGAAAAATAGACTAGGACGATGACGGCAGAAGGCAAGGGGCTTGGAGGAGGCAGGGAAACTGGCGGAGAGTGACTCATTTCTAGTCCACAAAGTCTCTAAGGGTCTGTTGAGATCAATCCGTACATCAGACAAGACCGAACACGCCAAATGGGGCATGAGGTTGGATTCTATATATAACCGCGATGACGTCTTTTGATTGTCAACAAGAGACAAAAAATGCAAAGGATCTAAAAATATCTGAACAGAGGAGTTCATTCATTCAGTCTGAAAACATGTACACTTCACAAAAATGTTGAATAGCAATACAGTCTGCTCAGAGACACTTTGTCAGGGTCTCTGTAGAAAGACTTCAGGTGAAGCAGAAATATAATCTGCTAATATAAAAAGTTGATAATGCTAATGTCAGTCATGTCAATCTGTCAATCAAAAAAACCCAATTTATGACCGCCCATCTTGAGTTCTGCCAATTAAAGAGGGAGGTTTTTTTTCTCCACAGTCCCCAATGTCTTGGGGGTTTTTGACCTTACTAAGTCAGGTGCCTTGGGATAATATATGTTATGATATAGTGCTACACTAATAAAATAGAATTTAAATAAAATAGAATTTATGTTTGAGGACAGATCACACAAATACAAAAAAAGCTTTGACGGAATCTGCCTGAACGCAGTTTTTTATGATTTGCTAAAATAAACAAACGCTTTACCTCCGCATTGAACATACAGTAGAATTGATTTTGTCAACTGAACAGCATTAGACTTCTCATCAAGCCCTCCCTCCTAACTGGCTCCACAATATTTCCGTCTAAACTTAAACTAGTGGTCCATGGGATTCAGACATGTCCTTGTCAATTAGTGGTTTCTATTTGAGGTCAAATTTGAACCATGCAAAGTGTGTACTGCCGACCACAAGAAGAGGTAAATACATCATATTTTCTACTAACAAAATCTGACTGGGCAACACTCACTTTTGAAAAAGATGAAGTGGTGTCAGAATACTTTGGTAGTCCAGCGTATTCTCATGTGTTTGGCTGAAAGTGTGAAAGTTAAACAATACAATTGGAGCATTACAGAAATGTATAGTGACTGTCTGATCAAACTTCAAAATAATAATCTAAACAGAGGCATTCATCCCCAGGTGATCCGGGAGGTAGTGATCTCTGTAGCTGTTTAAAACTTCAGTCATTTATGCTAATGTCTCTGCTCTCGCTGGAAAGAAGAGAGAACTGGACCAGAGCCAGGAAAACAACTATTCTCTCACTCACACTGCCAGGAAACAACTGGTTTTGTTATGTTTGTTAGCAAGCGCTGCATTGAGTCAAAACCCTGGGAGACTAAGGCTGTTCCGTTTGAGCTGAGTGGGCTACAGTGTGACGGCCTCTGTCCGCCAGTTCCCTGTTCCCCCACCATGCCTCTGGTCAAGATGTGTTTGCTGCAATGTGTCTGTACTGCAACCAGATAGTAAAGAACAGTTGCAATCCAGAGCAAAGGATAAGAAAAAAAAAGAAAGGATCAAACAGGTGAAAGAGCGTACCCTAACCGTGACAAATGTTAACACCCATGAAAATGATAAGACACTTTTTGAACATGGGCTTTCACTCTAAGGGCAAAGTAGTACAAACAGGTTGTTTTTTTTTAATAGTTAAACAGATGAGTAAATTCGGCCATCCAATGATTTACCCTCAGCCGAGCTGATCAAGTATTTCACTTTCTGATCAGTTAACAATACACTCCAAAAGTTAACTTTATTGTCAGGACATAGATGAAATTGAAATGCAATTTCTCTCTGATCCCCAGTGTAAACATAAGCAGACAGAACATATAAGTACGGAACTTATACTCAAACATAGTACACAGTAAAACACAGTATGCAGTCATAGGGTACATGGTGGATAGGATGGGAGTAGTGCAAACCGGAATAGTGCAAAAATGGATTGACAGCAGCAATGAGCTACAGGCTCCAAGCTAAATGGAAGCCTACAGCCATTTTCAGCAGGAGAATCTCCGCTCAGTTCTTTCGTAACAACACAGAAATATGCAGAGCATTCAGGTGAGGGGTGGTGCAGCACATTGTTTGCAGCACATTGAAACTGCTGTTGGCCCTTATCACCATTTGCTCTCTTGACTCCCACATGTATGACTCTTCTATTTCATCCTGAGATATGTATTCTTTTTGTTTGTATTTTTAATGGGAAAAATACAATCCTACATGGGTGACCAGCAACAAAGCCAATTGTCATAATCCCAAGACCTCTTCATTTCCACATACTCATCACAGGGTATCCAAAGCTGAAGCTAACATCAATCTCTGATCCACATGCAACAAACCTGCATGTCTCCAGCACAAACAATAGACCATTAGCCAAAGAAGCCTCCTCAGCCCGGTAAGTGACAAAACATACATTTCTGCCTGTAAGGTCATCAGCTACAAACAAGCCAACAACAAATAGTTAGGCAGACTTACTGCCAGCACTCATATCAAGACAGAAACTAAAAAGTTCCTGAAACTGAAAAGTGATAATGGCTGCAATATCTACTCATCTGTCTATGACTAAGAACGAAGTGGCTGTTGATGTTTGATGTAGACTTTATGGTTCGCAATGAAAAAAACTGAAGACAACCATGTGATAAGGGTCACTGCTGATGTCGATGTCCTGAAATCTAAAACATGATTTCCACAGCAGAATGAGTTATTTCCTTCCTCTTGCATGCTCTACCCAGACTCTTCCTCTTATTTGTTCTGGACAATTTCCTGTAGTTGTATACATGTCAAAGTTCAAGTGGAGGGTGACGTGAGAAGGGGAGGACCAGAACGCAGAAACTAAATAAGGTTTAACAAAAAGTGTATTTTATTTAACAGGGGAGTAAACGTAACACAAGAATTCTTCAGGAAAACAAAAGTCGCACTCAAAAAGAGGAGTGGAACACAGGAAGGACAGGATACAAACTTACGGGGAAACGTGACGAGAGCTGACGGGACACATGAACATAACCAGAATTGACGATGACGAACCAACAACCACATGGGGGAACACAAAGACTTAGATACACACTGGAACTATTTAGTAACTGGGGACAGGTGGCACAAGACAAACAGGTGAACCTGATGAGGGCAGGAAGTCAAAGGGTGAAAACACACAGGGAGCAAGGACTACAAAATAAAACAGGAAGCACTGAACAAACTTATCAACGAGAACAAAATACAATAAACCAAGACAGGGATGAACACAGGAGAGGCACAGGGTGAAACATAGCGAGGGACAAGGAGGGGAACACAGGAGAGGGACACAGAGAACAACACAGGAGAATCACAGGGTGGAACATAGCGAGGGACAAGGAGGGGAACACAGGAGAGGGACAGAGAACAACACAGGAGAGGGACACAGAGAACACAGGAGAATCACAGGGTGAAACATAGCGAGGGACAAGGAGGAGAACACAAGAGAGGGACAGAGAACAACACAGGAGGATCAGAGGGTGGAGCACAGAGGAAGGCAGAAGGAACATGAGAGGAACACTGAAAATACATGACCGTGACAATACACACCTCACTTGGACAATCATTGGACTGTATACTGAATATGAGAACTGCAAACATGATGAGGAAACAACAGTTCAACAGAAAGATGAGTACAACTCACACTTGAGTGACATGGACAGTCATCACCGCTAGAACAGAACAGAACAGGACGTGCATAAGGATGCCAGAGAGGGAGAAGAAAAGAGGAGGGGTCAGAGAGAGAGAGGGAGACAAAGAGGTGGGAGGATGGTGGGATAAACTCAAAGTTTTGTTCTGTGCTGCAGGATACAAGTGAGTGAGGTGATTAAGAGAAAACAGGTGGTGAGACTCCACGTGAGTCTGAAAAACATGGACCGGAAGACAGAAAGAAAGACGAGGGCAGTGATCTGGGGGCGGGCTTCATGGAGAGGTTCTAGTTTAAGCTTGTGATGTATAGCTAGTGAGTGTTCATTCATTGCTGCTGCATGATTATATGAGATAGAGAGATCAGACATGCCCACCCCCCCAGTTTCCAGAAATATTTTCTTGGCCTCTGGCAGTTATAGTAACATTAGCCAAAATAATTTACTGACAAACAACTGCTGCCTCC